TTCGTCAAGTGTTTCCTAGCGTGCTTCGTTGAGTTTTTCTTGGGGTGTGTCGCGGGCTGCTTCGTAGGGCGTTTCGTGGGCTGTTTCGAGTTTCGTTTCGTCCAGCATTTCGCAGCACGGCACAGCGCAGCGCAGCTTCTGGCACGGTGCCCTCACCATCGATAGATTCATCATTGCTACTGCCCATCGCCCAATCCAGGTGTCTCGAAACGTTTCTATGCTTCACATGTCTATATTCCTTTCCGGGTTCGTGGGTCCAGCATGTTACGTGTGCAGGCTACCCAGGGGGGGATATCTAACATAGTTTCCCCGAGCAAGGATCACTTGTTTTAACGTGTCCAGGCCACGCAGGTGTGTATCTAACATGGTTGCCCAGAGCTGGTCCCACGTGTGTTTACATGTCCAAGCCACCCAGGGGGTATCTAGCATGACTGTCCCGAATTGACGCCGCGCGGTTTTACGTGTCCAGGCCGCCCAGGGGGGCATCTAACATGGCGGAACCAGGTGCTTTCACGTGTCCAGGTCACCTAGGGGGTATCTAACATGGGCCTTCCTGGGGCCTGGTACGGACGTCTGACATGAAGATGTGTTGAGGACGTCTCGAGCGAAGCACTTGTTTTCCCTTCCACTACGCCCAGGCGGATGTCTAGCATGAGGTGGCACGTCCATCGGCACGTTCCGTTGCGCGTCCCCTTTGGCACGTCCCGCGGTGCGTCCCCATGGCACGTCCCTTGGCACGTCGCCTGGCGCATCCCTTGGGACGTTCCGCGGCGCGTCCTCCTGGCATGTTCCCTTGTCAGTTAGCTCTGTGGTGGCTACTAGGTGCCCAGGCAGCGCGAGCTTACGATCCAGATCAGTTCGGTCAAGACTCGGATGCAAAGGAGGACTCGACCCACAACGCTATAGAGCACAATCGCGGCATGGCACATCACAGTTCAGCACGGCGCAGCACAGCACAGCCTTCTGCACGGTACATCAAGATCGATACATTCAGCATTGCATTTTGGCACATTCCCCTTGCACGTGCCGTGGCGCGTCCCGTTGCGAGTCCCCTTGTCACGTCGCGCGGCGCGTCCCCTGGCACGTCCCGTGGCACGTCCATTGGCACGTTCCGTAACGCATCCCTTTGGCACGTCCCGCGGTGCGTCCCCATGGCACGTCCCTTGGCACGTCGCCTGGCGTGTCCCTTGGGTCGTTCCGCGGCGCGTCCTCCTAGCCTCTCTCCTTGTCAATTAGTTGTGGGGCAGCTACTAGGTGCTCAGACAGCTCGAGCTGAAGATCCAGATCAGTTCGGTCAAGACTCGGATGCAAAGGAGGACTCGACCCACGACGCTATAGAGCACAATCGCAGCATGGCACATCGCAGTTCAGCACGGCGCAGCACAGCACAGCCCTCGGCACGGTACATCAAGATCGATACATTCAGCATTGCATTTACCCGTCGCCCAGTCAGGTGTTTTTCCCGGAAAGGGCTTCAGGCCCAGGGTTCTTTTTTAGTAGGTTTACCCCCGGATCTGACGGGAAGAGGGCCGGCGGATTTCTTTTGCGCTAAATAACGTGTGGGAAGAGGGCGGGCGAATTGAAGTTTCAGGATGTCCCTAGCGAAACGCTTGTTTTTCAGATTTGTTGAGGATGTCTCGAGCAAAACGCTTGTTTTGTGTTATAGATTGTCCTCTCCTGGGGACCAGAATTTAGAGGATCTCTCAAGTGAAATACTTGGTTTCACGTGCCCAGGTCTTGAGGATGTCTCGAGCGAGACGCTTGGTTTCACGCCTCCAGGTTGCCCAGGCAGAGGTCAAGCGCCAGGATTTGTTGAGGATGTCTCGAGCGAGACGCTTGGTTTCACGCGTCCTCGTCGCCCAGGCGGATGTCTAGAATGAGGAGGTGTTGAGGAAGTCTCGATCGAGATGCTTGTTTGCACGTGTCCAGGTTGCCCAGGCGGATGCCTAACATGAAGATGTGTTGCGGATGTCTCGAGAGATACGCTTGTTTTCTCGTGTCCAGGTCGCCCAGGCGGATGTCTAACATGAAGATGTGTTGCGGATGTCTCGAGCGAGACGTTTGCTTTCACGTGTACAGGGCGCCCAGGCGGATGTCTAGAATGAGAATGCATTGAGGATGTGTTGAGCGAAACGTTTGATTTCACGTGTCCAGGTCGCTCAGGCGGATGTCTAGCATGAGGATGTTGACAGGATGTCTCGAGCGAAACGCTTGTCCCCAGCACGTTCCGTAGCGCGTCCCCTTGGCACGTCCCGCGGTGCGTCCCCATGGCACGTCCCCTGGCATGTCGCTTGGCGCGTCCCTTGAGACGTTCCGCGGCGCGTCCTCCTGGCATGTCCCCCTGTCAATTAGCTCTGCGGCAGATACTACGTGTTCAGGCAGCTCGAGCTTAAGATCCAGATCAATTCGGTCAGGACTCGGATGCAAAGGAGGACTCGACCCACGACGCTATAGAGCACAACCGCGGCATGGCACATCGCAATTCAGCACGGTGCAGCACAGCACAGACTTCGGCACGGTACATCAAGATCGATACAATCAGAGCATTGCAACCTGGCACGTTCCTTGGCACGTTCCGTGGGGCGTCCCTTCGCGAGTCTCCCTGGCACGTCGCGTGGCGCGTCCCCTGGCACATTCCGTGGCACGTCCATTGGCACGTTCCGTAGCGCGTCCCTTTGGCACGTCCTACGGTGCGACCCCATGGCACGTCCCCTGTCACGTCGCCTGGCGCGTCCCTTGAGACGTTCCGCGGCGCGTCCTCCTGGCATGTCCCCCTGCCAATTAGCTCTGGGGCAGCTACTATGTGTTCAGGCAGCTCGAGCTTAAGATCCAGATCAGTTCGGTCAGGACTCGGATGCAAAGGAAGACTCGATCCACGACGCCATAGAGCACAACCGCGGCATGGCACCTCGCAATTCAGCAAGGCGCAGCACAGCACAGCCCTCGGCACGGTACATCAAGATCGATACAATCAGCATTGCCCTTGCCCGTCACCCAATCATGTGTCTTTGAAAACGTTGCCATGCGTTACATTTCTATATTCCTTTCCTGGTTCGTGGGTCGATCATGTTGAAACGTTTCCATGCCTTACATTTCTGTATTCCTTTCCGGGTTCGTGGGTCGATCATGTTCCTCCTTGCAGATGTATCCTTGCCCGATTCTGGCCCTGTCCCGGCACGCGTGGAACGCGGCGCGAGGCACTCCTCGTCCGCCTCGGCATTCCCCGCCTCCTCGCCGCTCCCGCGCCTGCCCTCGTGCGGGCCGCAAGGATTTACACCACCACCACCTCCTCCGTTTCCCCCCTCCCTCGTCAATATCCTGCTCTTCCCCCCCCCCTCCTTCCTGGGAGAGGAAGGTGGCGAAAGAGGTGGTGGTGGTGTATCTTTTGGGCCCCCTTTACCTCTCGGGGGCCCCAAACGGTGCGGTGACCACACCGTGTGGTGAGTCGGCGGGGATTCGGGGTCACCGCACGGCTTTAGGACTCGAGTCCCTCTCCGAGGACGTCTCGGGCGACAGGGGCATCCGAGGTCCCAAGACCGTGCGGTGACGGACCGTGCAGTGACGGACCGTGCGGCGCCGGTGAGGTTTTGAGGGATTGTAGTGGCCTCCGGCCAGTGCCGCCGATCCGGGGCGCTCCGGGTGCCTGTGGAAATGGACGACGACGAGGAAGACGAAAACGACGACGAACACGAATACGTCGACGACGACGACGACGCCGACGACGACGACGACGACGACGACGAGAGCGACGACGACAACGACCACGACGACGACGACGACGACGGCGATGACGACGACGGCGACGCGAGCGACGACGACGACGACGGCGACGATGACGCGAGCGACGACGACGACGACGACGACGACGACGACGACGACGACGGCGACGACAACGACGACGACGACGACGACGACGACGACGACGCGAGCGACGACGACGACGACGGCGACGATGACGCGAGCGACGACGACGACGACGACGACGACGACGACGACGACGACGGCGACGACAACGACGACGACGACGACGACGACGACGGGGGGGGAGCTGGGTTGCAGGGGGGGGGGTCTGCTCTGCAGGGGGGTCCGCTCGGCAGAGGGAGGGCTGCAGGGGAGAGGGGGGGTCCGCTCTGCAAGGGGGGGGGGGCGCAGGAGGGGGGGTCTGCTCTGAGCGGGGGGGGGGTGCAGGGGAGGGGGGGGGGTCCGCTCTGCAGGGGGGGCGGGGCCTGCTCGGGGGGGGGGTCCGCTCTGCAGGGGGGGGGGGGGGGGGGGGGCTGAGCTGCAGGGGGGGCGGGGGGCGCTCTGCAGGGGGAGGGGGTGCAGGAGGGGGGGTTCTGCTCTGCAGGGGGGGGTGCAGAGGGGGGGGGGGGTCCGCTCTGCAGGGGGGGGGGGGCGGGGCTGCAGGGGGGAGGTCCGCTCTGCAGGGGGGTGCTCTGCAGGGGAGGGGGTGCAGGGGAGGGTCGGGAGGGTCCGCTCTGCAGGGGGGGGCGGCTGCAGGGGGAGGGGTCCGCTCTGCAGGGGGGGGAAGGGGGGGCTGGGCTGCAGGAGGGGGGGGGGCGCTCTGCAGGGGGGGGGGGGTCCGCTCTGGAGGGTGGGGGGGGGGGCGAAGCACTGACTTAGGTCGGAAATGAGGTCCCCCCCCCCCCCCCTGCGAAGCACTGAATTAGGTCGGAAATGAGGTCCCCCCCCCGCAGAGCGAAGCTTGAGCGAGCTCAAGCCCACGCTCTCAGAAACTCACACGCCGGATCGGCTGATTTCGAGGTCGTCGCACGGTCTGTCACGGCACCGTTTCGGGACTCCAAGACCTCGCGCGCCCCCTCACTCGTCCATCCTGCTCTCCCCCCCCTCTTTCCTGGAAGAGGGAGGGTGTGACAGAGAGGTGGTGGTGCTGGCGTATCTTTTGGGGCCCCTTTAGCTCGCGCGTTGTGGGTGGGGGCCCACACTCCCCCGCCCCTGAGTCCCGCCTGCCGCGCGCCTCTGTGCCCCCCCTCTCCCGATAGGTGGGCCCCCGCCTACAGGCGGCCGCCCGCGCCGCGGCCAGGGGCGGGGCCCTGGAGCAGCCGGCGCAGCTGGAGCAGGAGCCCAGCAGGGGGGGGAGGAGGGGGGGGGGGAGGGGGAGGGGGAGGGGGAGGGGGGGGAGGGGAGGAGGGGAGGAGGAGGAGGAGGAGGAGGAGGAGGAGAGGAGGAGGAGGAGGAGGAGGAGGATCGCACGCCACTGAGGAGAGAGAGAGAGAGAGAGAGAGGTTCGACAGTCCGAAAAACTCCCGGAGGGGCCCATCAGAGTGGAACTTTTTCCCGGAAAGGGCGGGAGCCCAGGGTTTTCTTTTAGAGGTTTACATCCGGAATCGACGGCTGAAGGGCCAGCGGAGTTATTTGTGATAAATAACGAGGTCGCCTAGGGCCGGCGGAATTATGTTTGAGGATTCCTCGAGCGAACCGCTTGTTTTTCAGAATTGGTTGAGGATGTCTCGAGCGAAACGCTGGTTTTGCAGAGTTGGGGGATATCTCGAGCGAAACGTTTGTTTTTCATATTTTCTTGAGGTTGTCTCGAGCGAAACGCTGATTTTGCAGAGTTGGGGTATCTAAAATGGCGTCGGGCCCAACGCCGAATTATGAAGAAACGCACGGGGGGCCGAAAAGCGCTACCCGAACACATGTCCCAATACAGAAAAGTGATGGTTTCTTGCTCTGAACAGGGGGTGGCGCTTTGAAGGCCTCTCTAGGGAAGATATTGCGAGGATGTCTCGAGCGGGAGCGCGAATTCAGCTTATCCAGGTCACGCAGGGGGGTATCTAACATGGCTGTCCCGAGCTGGAGCCACGTGTTTTTTCATGCTTAGGCCACCCAGGGAGATCTCTAACATGATTGTCCCGAGCTGGAACCAAGTGTTTTTTCCCGGAAAGGGCTCGGGCCCAGGGTTCTCTTTTAGTGTGTTAACCCCTTGTTCTGACGGCTGTAGGGCTGGCGAAATTATTTTGCGATACGTAACGAGGTCGCGTAGGGCCGGCGAATTAGAATGTTGAGGATGTCTCGAGCGAAACGCATGTGTTTCACAATTTGTTGAGGATCTCTCGAGCGAACCGCTTGTTTTGTGTTATAGATGGCCCTCTCCTGGGGACCATAATTCAGAGAATCTCTCAAGTGAAATGCTTGTTTTCACGTGCCCAGGTCTTGAGGATGTCTCGAGCGAGACGCTTGGTTTCACGCCCCCAGGTTGCCCAGGCAGAGGTCTCGCGCCAGGATTTGCTGAGGATGTGTCGAGCGAGACGCTTGGCTTCACGCGTCCTCGCCGCCCTCGCGGATGTCTACCATGAGGATGTGTTGAGGAAGTCTCGATAGAGATGCTTGTTTGCACGTGTCCAGGTCGCCCAGGCGGATGTCTAACATGAAGATGTGTTGCGGATGCCTCGAGAGATACGCTTGTTTTCACGTGTCCAGGTCGCCCAGGCGGATGTCTAACATGAAGATGTGTTGCGGATGTCTCGAGCGAGACGTTTGCTTTCACGTGTACAGGGCGCCCAGGCGGATGTCTAGAATGAGGAGGTGTTGAAAACGTCTCGAGCGAAACGCTTGTTTTCACGTGCTCAGGTCACCCAGGCGGACGTCTCACATGAAGATCTGTTGAGGATGTCTCGAGCGAACCACTTGTTTTCACGTGTCCAGTTTGCCCAGGCGGATGTCTAGCATGAACATGTGTTGAGGATGTGTTGAGCGAAGCGCTTGATTTGACGTGTCCAGGTCGCTGAGGCGGATGTCTAGCATGAGGATGTTGACAGGATGTCTCCAGCGAAACGCTTGTCCCCAGCACGTTCCGTAGCGCGTCCCCTTGGCACGTCCCGCGGTGCGTCCCCATGGCACGTCCTTTGGCACGTCGCTTGGCGCGTCCGTTGGGACGTTCCGCGGCGCGGCCTCCTGGCATGTCCCCCTGTAAATTAGCTCCGGGGCAGCTACTATGTGGACGATTTGCTCAGGCAGCTCGAGCTGAAGATCCAGATCAGTTCGGTCAGGACTCGGATGCAATGGATGACTCGATCCACAACACTGTAGAGCACAATCGCGGCATGGCACATCGCAGTTCAGCACGGCGGAGCACAGCACAGCCTTCGGCACGGTACATCGAGATGGATGCACTCACTCATCATTGCAACTTGGCACGTTCCCTGGCACGTTCCGTGGGGCGTCCCGCGGCGAGTCCCCCTGGCACGTCGCGCGGCGCGTCCCCTGGCACATCCCGTTGCACGTCCATTGGCACGTTCCGTAGCGCGTCCCCTTGGCCCGTCCCGCGGTGCGTCCCCATGGCACGTCCCCTGGCACCTCGCCTGGCGCGTCCCTTGGAACCTGTCATGCCCCCCTGTCAAGTAGCTGCGGGGCAGCTAGTATGTGTTCAGGCAGCTCGAGCTTGAGATCCATATCAGTTCGGTCAGGACTCGGATGCAAAGGAGAACTCGACCCTCGACGCTATAGAGCACAATCGCGGCATGGCACATCGCAATTCAGCACGGTGCAGCATAGCACCGTGCTCAAGATCGATACATTCAGCATTGCATTTGCCCGTCACCCAATCAGGTGTCTTTGAAAACGCTGCCATGCGTTACGTTTCTATATTCTTTTCCGGGATCACTGTGTTTTTACGTGTCCAGGCCACCAGCACGACACTTGTCCCCAGCACGTTCTGTAGCGCGTCCACTAGGCGCGTCCCGCGGTGCGTCCCCGTGGCACGTCCCCTGGCGCGTCGCCTGGAAGGTTCCTTGAGACGTTCCGCGGCGCGTCCTCCTGGCATGTCCCCCTGTCAATTAGCTCCGGGGCAGCTACTATGTGGACGATTTGCTCAGGCAGCTCGAGCTGAAGATCCAGATCAGTTCGGTCAGGATTCGGATGCAACGGATGACTCAATCCACCACACTATAGAGCACAATCGCGGCATGGCACATCGCAGTTCAGCACGGCGGAGCACAGCACGGCCTTCGGCACGGTACATCGAGATGGATGCACTCGCTCAGCATTGCAACCTGGCACGTTCCTTGGCACGTTCCGTGGCGCGTCCCGCGGCGAGTCCCCCTGGCACGTCGCGCGGCGCGTCCCCTGGCACATCCCGTTGCACGTCCATTGGCACGTTCCGTAGCGCGTCCCCTTGGCCCGTCCCGCGGTGCGTCCCCATGGCACGTCCCCTGGCACCTCGCCTGGCGCGTCCCTTGGAACCTGTCATGCCCCCCTGTCAAGTAGCTGCGGGGCAGCTAGTATGTGTTCAGGCAGCTCGAGCTTGAGATCCATATCAGTTCGGTCAGGACTCGGATGCAAAGGAGAACTCGACCCTCGACGCTATAGAGCACAATCGCGGCATGGCACATCGCAATTCAGCACGGTGCAGCATAGCACAGCCTTCGGCAGGGTACATCAAGATCGATACATTCAGCATTGCATTTGCCCGTCACCCAATCAGGTGTCTTTGAAAACGCTGCCATGCGTTACGTTTCTATATTCTTTTCCGGGATCACTGTGTTTTTACGTGTCCAGGCCACCAGCACGACACTTGTCCCCAGCGCGTCCCCTTGGCCCGTCCCGCGGTGCGTCCCCATGGCACGTCCCCTGGCACGTCGCCTGGCGCGTCCCTTGGAACTTTCCGCGAGGCGTCTTCCTAGCATGCCCCTTTGTGAATTAGCTCTGGGGTAGCTGCTATGTGCTCAGGCAGCTCGAGCTTAAGATCCAGATCAGTTCGTTTAGGACTCGGATGCAAAGGAGGACTCGATCCACAACGCTATAGAGCACAATCGCAGCATGGCACATCGCAGTTCAGCACGGCGCAGCGCAGCACTGCCTTCGGCAGGGTACATCAAGATCGATACACTCAGCATTGCAACCTTGCACGTTCCGTGGCGCGTCCCGCGGCGAGTTCCCCTGGCACGTCGCGCGGCGCGTCCCCTGGCACGTCCCGTGGCACGTCCAATTGGCACGTTCCGTAACGCGTCCCCTTGGCACGTCCCGCGGTGCGTCCCCGTGGCATGTCCCCTGGCACCTCGCTTGGCGCGTCCCTTGGGACGTTCCGCGGCGCGTCCTCCTGGCATGTCCCCCTGTCAACTAGCTCTGGGGCAGCTACTAAGTGCTAGGGCAGCTCGAGTTGACGATCCAGATCAGTTCGGTCAGGACTCGGATGCAAAGGAGGACTCGATCCACAACTTTATAGAGCACTATCCCGGCATGGCACATCGCAGTTCAGCACGGCTCAGCACAGCACAGCCCTCGGCATGGTACATCAAGATGGATACATTCAGCATTGCAACCTGCCACGTTCCGTGGCGCGTCCCGCGGCGAGTCCCCCTGGCACGTCGCGCGGCGCGTCCCCTGGCACGTCCCGTGGCACGTCCGTTGGCACGTTCCGTAGCGCGTCCCCTTGGCCCGTCCCGCGGTGTGTCCCCATGGCACGTCCCCTGGCACGTCGTCTGGCGCGTCCCTTGGAACTTCCCGCGAGGCGTCTTCCTAGCATGCCCCCTTGTGAATTAGCTCTGGGATTAGCTACTATGTGGTCAGGCAGCTCGAGCTGAAGATCCATATCAGTTCGTTTAGGACTCGTACAATCCACATCGCTATAGAACACAATCGTCACGTGGCACATCGCAGTTCAGCACGGCGCAGCACAGCACTGCCGTGGCACGGTACATCAAGATCGATGCGCTCAGCATTGCAATTTGGCACGTTCTTTGGCACGTTCCGTGGCACGTCCCGCGGCGAGTCCCCCTGGCACGTCGCGCGGCGCGTCCCCTGGCACGTCCCGTGGCACGTCCAATTGGCACGTTCCGTAGCGCGTCCCCTTGGCACGTCCCGCGGTGCGTCCCCGTGGCACGTCCCCTGGCACCTCGCTTGGCGCGTCCCTTGGGACGTTCCGCGGCGCGTCCTCCTGGCATGTCCCCCTGTCAACTAGCTCTGGGGCAGCTACTAAGTGCTAGGGCAGCTCGAGCTTAAGATCCAGATCAGTTCGTTTAGGACTCGGATGCAAAGGAGGACTCGATCCACAACGCTATAGAGCACAATCGCGGCATGGCACATCGCAGTTCAGCACGGCTCAGCACAGCACAGCCCTCGGCATGGTACATCAAGATGGATACATTCAGCATTGCAACCTGGCACGTTCCGTGGCGCGTCCCGTGGCGAGTCCCCTTGGCACGTCGCGCGGCGCGTCCCTTGGCACGTTCCGTGGCACGTCCATTGGCACGTTCCGTAGCGCGTCCCCCATGGCCCATGGCACGTCCCTTGGCACCTCGCTTGGCGCGTCCTTTGGAACGTTCCGCGGCGCGTCCTCCTGGCATGTTCCCCTGTGAATCAGCTCTGGGGCAGCTTCTAGTTTTGTTGAGGCAGCTCGAGCTTAAGATCCAGATCAGTTCGGTCAGGACTCGGATGCAAAGGAGGACTCGATCCACGACGCTATAGAGCACCATCGTGGCATGGCACATCGCAGTTCAGCACGGCGCTGCACAGCACAGCCCTCGGCACGGTACATCAAGAACGATACATTAAGCATTGCATTTGCCCGTCGCACAACCAGGTGTTTTTGAAACGTTGCCATGGCTTACATCTCTATATTATTTTCCGGGTTCGTGGGTCGATCATGTTTCCCGGAAAGAGTTCCGGTCCAGGGTTCTCTTCTAGGGATTTACCCCCCAGCCCCGACGGTTGTAGGGCCGGCGGAATTAATTTGCGATGAACTACAAGGTAAAGTGTGGATTGTCAGTTAAACAAGTGCGTTTGTCGCGTGCCCGCTCGAGGAAAGTTTGCCCCCCATCTCGGATCCCCTATAAATCACGACGTCCGCGGACCACCGTCTTCTTTCGTAAAAAAAGAGGGTGCGGGGCATTTTTAGCAGAATCCGTATAAGAAAACCTAGGTCTGGAGCCCCGACAGCGACGCGGAAAAGCGTCCCGCGCGCAGGATCTCCGAGGATGTCTCGCGCGTGCCGCGTCCCGCGCGCAGGAATTTAGATGATTTCTCAACTAATTCGCATGTTTCCCTACCTAGGCTCTGCCTAGAAGGGTTCTTATTCTGTAAACTTGAAGGGCCAGGCAGTGCAAAACGCCCAGGGCGGTTCCCCCGGCATCCGCCCCGCGGTTCCCCCAGTGACGTTCCCTTAGCTTAGCGTTGCTTATCTCATCTTAGCTTAGCTTATTTTATCTTAGCTTAGCTTAGCTTCACCTTAGCTCAGGTTTATTCCCTACCTAGGCTCTGCCTAGAGGGTTCTTACTTTGTTTGCTTAAAGGGGGCCGGGCAGTGGAAAACGCCCCGGCCGGTTCCCCCAGTCCCCGCCCCGCGATTCCCCCAGTCCCCTTGGAGCTTTAGCTTCAGCTTTAGCTTTAGCTTTAGCTTTAGTTAGCTTTAGCTTAGCTTTAGCTTAGCTCTAGCTTAGCTCTAGCTTAGCTTTAGCTTAGCTTTAGCTTAGCTTTAGCTTAGCTTTAGCTTAGCTTTAGCTTAGCGTTAGCTCAGCTTTAGCTTAGCTTCAGCTTAGCTTTTGCTTAGCTTTAGCTTAGCTTTAGCTTAGCTTCATCTTAGATTTAGTTTAGCTTTCTATTAGCTTTAGCTTAGCGTTAGCTTAGCTTTAGTTTAGCTGTATCTTAGCTTCAGCTTAGCTTTTGCTTAGCTTCAGCTTAGCTTCAGCTTAGCTTCAGCTTAGCTTTAGCTTAGCGTTAGCTTAGCTTCAGCTCAGCTTCAGCCTAGCTTTAGCTTAGCTTCAGCTTAGCTTTAGCTTAGCTTCAGCCTAGCTTTAGCTTAGCTTCAGTTTTGCTTTAGCTTGGCTTTAGCTTAGCTTTACTGTTACTACTAATGCTGCTTTCCTAGGGGCTCCAACTCCTGATTGGGTCGCACTGGGATAATTTGTTCCAGGATGTCCTTGGCCACACGGGAGGGTATGTAACATGTTCTGCTCGAGCTGGAACCACGTCGCTTCACGTGTCCAGGGCACCCAGGTGGGTATGTAACATGGAGGTCCCGGGTCCCGAGCTGGTACCAGGGTTTCCCGTGTCCAGGCCACACAGGTGGGTATCTAACATGGTGGTTTCGCGCTGGAACCACGTGTTTCACTTGCCGAGGCCACCCAGGGGGTGTCTAAGATGGTGGTCCCGCGCTGGAACCATGTGGTTTCACGTGCCCAGGTCGCCCAGAGGGTGTATCGAACATGGTGGCCTGCGCAGGAACCGCGTGTTTTCACGTGTCCACGCCACCCAGGGGGGTATCTAACATGGTGGTCCTGAGCTGGAACCACGTGCTTTCACGTGCCCACGCCACCCAGGGGGGTATCTAACATGTTGGTCCCGAGCTGGAACCTTGTGTTTCCGCGTGTCCAGGCCACCCAGGGGGGTATCTAACATGGCTCCCCGAGCTGGAACCACGTGTTTTCATGTGTCCAGGTCACTCAGGGGGTATCTATCATGGGCCTTGTGGATCCTTCCTGGGACTCGGAACGGAACGTCGAGAGTTTATGTGTATTTGGTATCGATTCGTTGATTGTTTGGCCTCCTGGCGCCTCTGGGCGTTCCTGGGCCCTCCTGCGATCCAGACGACCGCATATTAGATATCCCTCCTGGGTGGGCTGGACCAGTTGTTTTTACGTGCCCAGGCCACCCAGTGTAGTATCTAGCATGATTGTCCCGAGATGGCACCATGTGTTCTTTCGTGTCCAGGCCACCCAGGGGGGGGGTGATCTAACATGGTTGTCCCGAGCAAGGGCCACGTGTTTTAACGTGGGGTGTATCTAACATGGTTGCCCAGAGCTGGTCCCACGCGCGTGTACGTGTCCAGGCCACCCAGGGGAGTATCCAGCATGATTGCCCCGAATTGGAACCGCGCGGTTTTACGTATCCAGGCCGCACATCGCAACTCAGCACGGCGCAGCACAGTACACCCTTCGGCACGGTACATCAAGATCGATACAGTCAGCATTGCAATTTGTCACGTTCCGTGACGGCGCGTCCCGTGGCGAGTCCCCGTGGCACGTCGCGCGGCGCGTCCTTGGCACGTCCACTGGTACGCTCCGTAGCGCGTCCCCTTGGCACGTCCCGCGGTGCGTCCCCATGGCACGTTCCTTGGGACGTCGCCTGGCGCGTCCCTTGGGACGTTGCGCGGCGCGTTCTCCTGGCACGTCCCCTTGTCAATTAGCTCTGGGGCAGCTACTATGTGCTGGGGCAGCTCGGGCTTAAGATCCAGATCAGTTCGGTCAGGATTCGGATGCAAAGGAGGAGTCGATCCACAACGCTATATGGCACACTCTCGGCCCGGCACATCGCAATTCAGCACGGCGCAGCACAGCACAGCCCTCGGCACGGTACATCCAGATCGGTGCAGTCAGCCTTTCAATTTGGCACGTTCTGTGGCACGTTCCGTGGCACGTTCCGTGGCGCGTCCCGTGGCGAGTCCCCGTGGCACGTCGCGCGGCGCGTCCCGTGGCACGTCCCGTGGCACGTCCCCTGGTACGCTCCGTAGCGCGTCCCCTTGGCACGTCCCGCGGTGCGTCCCCATGGCACGTCCCCTGGCACGTCGCCTGGCGCGTCCCTTGGGACGTTCCGCGGCGCGTTCTCCTGGCATGTCCCCCTGTAAATTAGCTCTGGGGCAGCTACTATGTGCTGAGGCAGCCCGAGCTTAAGATCCAGATCAGTTCGGTCAGGATTCGGATACAAAAGAGGAGTCGATCCACAACGGTCTATGGCACAATCTCGGCCCGGCACATCGCAATTCAGCACGGCGCAGCGCAGCACAACCGTCGGTACGGTACATCAAGATCGATAGTTTCAGCTATGCATTTGCCTGGCGCCCAATCAGGTGTCTTTGAAGCGTTGCCACGCCTTACATATCTATTCATTGGGTCCTAGTCGTGTTGTTGAGGGTGGTCGTATCTATTTGTTGGGAGGGTACGATCTACGTTTGGGAGGGTCCTATCTACGTGTTGGGATGGACCTATCTACGTTTGTGAGAGTCCGATCTACGTTTCGAGACTAGGGCCGGGTGTTCAGGGTATAGCACCTCTGGGCCGTAGGGCCGTGGGATCCTAACGGGTTTCTGCGGGGTTTCTAATAGCCCCGCCGTGTTCTGAGAAGGCCTGCCCCGTCTGACTTCCCCTGGGCTCGCCGCCGATAGTATCGACAGGTTGCTGCAGGATTTTCGCTTTATTTCCGCCCCCAAAAGCCTCCGCGAGAGAGCTCCAGAGACGTCCGGCAGCGAAGTGTCGGGGGCGTCCAAGCGTGAAAACTAGGGGGGATAGCACGGCCATGGCCATGGAATCTCCTGGGTTGCATGGCCCCGCCTCCGCTCGTTCAACACCTCCCTTGGCCCCCTTTCTGTCCGCGCTCATGCCTCGGTCCATGGCGTGCACTCCCCCTTCCTGGACTCCGTCCTCGGCGCGTGCGTAGGCGGAGGGGAGGTAGGTTTTGGCGGCGCGCACAAGGCAGTAGGGGGAGGGGGAAGGCTTCTCAGAAGCAGGTTGCTTATTTGACGGAGCCGGCTTTACATCTGCAGACAAGTCCCGCGCCTTCTAAGAAGCAAGGGTGTTTCTAAGAAGCTTTCCCCCCTCCCCCTAATTTCCCCCCTCTGCGCGCCGCCAAAGGGTGGGAGGGGGGGGGGCGAGACCCCCTCGGGGGGACGTCGAGGGTCCAGGGGAGCCCGCCGCCCTGGAGTGGCAGCCGCAAGAGGCCGCCCTGATGCCTTTGCCGGGAGTCTGCCTGACCGCACCGTGGCCGCCATCTCCCCATCGTCGTCGTCGTCGTCATTCTCCGTCGGGCGTCGTCCGTCGGTCGTCGGTCGCCATCGGCCGTCGGCAATCGGTCGCCGTCGGTGGCCAGTGGTCTGTCGTGTGTCGGTCGTCGTCGTCGGCGTCGGCGTCGGCGTCGGCGTCGGCGTCGGCGTCGGCGTCGTCGTCGTCTTCGTCGTCGATTGTCGTCGTCGTCGTCGTCCCCCAGCAGGACGCCCTCTGCCTGCTTCGCGCGCTGATGGGCGCCTACCTCGAGCCGGGGCGCACCCCGCGGGGGGGCCGCCCCGCATCGCATCGTCAGCGGGCTTTCAAGAGGTCCCAAAGACTGCGCAGCGACCACACGGTCGGACGAGCAAGCAGGGAGTGATCGGGGGCGGCCAAGAAAGAGGGGGGTGATGATTAGGGAGGTGATATCGTGGCCCCCTGTTCTTGTTTCAACACGTCTCCTGCCGCCCACTCGGCCGCGCACGTGTCTCGGGCCGTGCTTTGAGGGGGTGGGGGGGTGGGCAGTGCGTTGGGACTCGGCTCGTCATCCAGCGATTCGAAGAGCACAAGCGTGAGCTTTCGGAGGTCCGCGCAGACCCCCCTCCCTGTCGCGCGCAGCGCGCCAGGGGCGGGCCCAAGTGGCTCTGGGAGTCCGAACACAGTGTAATGTACTAAGGAACGTGGCCCTGGGAGCGCGGACGCAGCGACTTCACGAGGGAGCGCAGCCCTGGGAGCGTGGACGCAGCGTAGCCGAGGGAGAGCGGACGCAGCTTAATTTACGAGGGATCGTGGCTTTGGGAGCCGGACGCAGAATAATGTACAAGGGATCGTGGCCTTGGGAGCGCGGACGCAGCATCAGTTACCAAGGAAAATGGCTCTAGGGGGGTGGACACAGTGTAATCCCACCAGCCCTTTAGGGCGTAGGTGGTCTAGGGAGTTTCCTCTCTCAACCCCCTTCTTCCCCTTCGGGGAGGGGTTTACCATTGTTCCTTGTGAAGATACACCCCCTCCCCCAGGCGACCAGGGGCCAACCCGAAACCATGCCGACACCATGCCGATCCGCCCCCACCAGCCTTGTCAAAAAACAATACAAAGCGCACTCTGCCTCCACGTTTGGAGCATGCGCGGCCAACCCAATGCGGCCACCCCCACCATCCCTGTCAAAAAGCAGCGACGTACACTTCGGGGCAAAGTCTCGAGTTATGTTCGTGAGGCCCGCGAACACTTTGCATTGTTGTGACAAGGACGGCGGGGGCGTCAGCATATTCCCTGCTGTGCGCAGGGCTACCATCCCTGACAAAAACAGCAGTACAACATACACCTCGCGGCTAAATCTGGATCATGCGCGGCCATCCAGCGATCACTGCCAAGTGGGTTTTGACAGGGACGTCGGGTGTGGTGGCGCGTGGTTTGCTGTGCGCAGGCCCAGCAGAAAGCAATTACGGGCACCGGTTTTCGACAAGGATGGTTGGGGCCGACATGTTTCCCGATGTGTGCTGTCAGGTGCGCAGGCGCGCCTGACGCACTCTGCACGTGCCCCGACCGCGACGCACCTGGCGCGGCTGGAGTGTGCGGCACATCTGGCGCACTCGGAGCACGTGGCGCATTTGGCGCACCAGGCGTGCTTGGCACGCTTGGGCCTGAGGGGTGCTTGGCGCGCGTGGCGCCCCTGGCAAGCGTGGCGCACCTTACCCAAAACTTCGCGCACCTGGGGTCGGCTTTGGTTCCAAGTAGCTGCCCATCCAAAGACGACCGCTGAACATGCTCAGGCTTGGGTGTTACTTATGTGTAGGGAGGGCGGGTGGGAGTGAGCTAGACGGCTTGCGAGCGGGTGGGTGTTTTGACCCCTCCCCCTACCCCCCTCCCCTGGACCTGGACGGAGTGTTCCGCGGGTAGTTAGAGCGTCCAAAACGGCCTCGGCGAGGAGGCCAACATCATTTGTTGTACCAGGGTGTTGGCCCCCTTATAGCCTCCTGGAGGGGGGGACCCTAATGAAGGAACCCCCTTTCTTTGGTCGATCTCGTTTGAGATGGCCCCAAGAGCGCTCCCAAGGCTCCAACGGGTGCCCCAAGAGGGCCCCAAGATGTGGCCAGGAGGCCCCACGAGGCCCCGAGGAGGCCCTCAGGATGCCCCCAAGGGGCTCCCAAGAGACCACCAGAGGCCCCAAGACGCCTCACAGAGGCACCCAAGACGCTCCAAGATGCCTCGGCGAGAATGCCAAAATCATTGATCGTACTAAGGTGTTGGCCACATGTTGGCTTCCTGGTGGGGGGCACTGATTGAGATGACCCCAAGAGCGCCTGGGAGAGCCCAAGCTGACCTCCAAGATGGCTCAATATATCCCAAGATGCCTCGAGATGGCTCCCACGAGACTCCAAGAGGCCCCAAGACCGCTTCAAGACGGATCCAAGTGGCCAACGAGCTCCCCCAGGAGGCCCCGACATGGCCAACATTCTTCCAACACCTAAGGACACTCAATGTTTTTGGCTTTCTCGACTTTTCGCTTCCGATGGCCATCCGAGGCCTCAAGCTGGTTCCAAGATACTTTCGAGAGAGCCCCAAGACGGCCCCAAAAGCGCCCAAGAGCGCTCCAAGAGCGCCCCAAGAGCGCCCCGAGAGGCTTCTTTTGGGGCTCCCGACGGGCAACGCTACTTAATGCTTCCCTCTTGTTTGATCGATGTCCCCCAAGATGGCCCCAAGAGCGATTCAAGAGGGCCCCAAGAGGCGCCCAGGAGGCCCCAACAGGCGCCCAAGGGCCTCCAAGAGTCTTCCAAGAGACCCCCAAGAGGCCCCAAGGAACTTTCCGAGGCATCCAAGAGGCTCTAAGAGGCGCCCGGGACCGCCAAGAGGCTCCCAAGACGCTCCATAGGGCCTCCACTGGGGGGCCCTTCCTCTGTGTGCTGCCGACTTCCCTGATCGAGGCAATTCCTTCGGGGATCGTTTCTGGATGGGCTGGTGGGGAGGCGAAGGCGCCGGCAGCAGAAGCAGAGTTGGTTCGGGCTACGACCAACCTAATTGCCGGCGCGCACGCCTAGCTAGGCGAGACCAACCGCCGGTTGAAGCAGCAGCGCCGGGGCTAGGCTGCGCCGAGGGTGGGGACTGCAAGCTGCAGAGGCTGCCAGGATGTTGCAACGTGCGAGTACCATGGGAGCTGAATCGCCAGGCACGTGAATTGGACCTTGTCGCCACCGGGCGCCAGAGGTCAGGGCAGCAGACGGACAGGAGACACGTCTGGCCGTTCAAGAAGGCTGAACCACTCCTGAGTGAACCGGCGGACCAGTACTCCATATGGCCAGCTGACAAACCAGAAACCAGGAAAGTGCAAGCACTCGTGCTGGAACTGGTCAGAACGCACGTCACCTGAACGCAAGGGCTCACCCGACTCCACGGACCAGAATGAGAGCCAAAGGCGCGAGGGACGGACGCATCCACCGAGGGCTGCGGGGATCTGAGCCCGGCGCTTGCGGCGAAGTGGGAGCCAGACGCAGCCAGGTCAGGCGGTGACTGGGGACCAGGGGCCAGGGAAATGCAAGCACTCGCGCCGAAACTGGCGAAAACGCGTGACCGAACCAGGCCGTGGCCAGGTCCGGGCAATGGCCAGGGTGAAAACAGTTACAGTAACGGCCAGGGCCGTACGGCACGTCGCGCCCCGCCCCAGCGGCGACAGCGTACCCGGTATTGACGGGGCTGGTGGGGGTACTTCTTCGTCGCAACCGCAGGCGAAGGCGCCAGCGGCGAGTCGAGTCAGCTCGGGCTACGAGCGGAACTAATTGCTGGCGCGCGCGCGGAGGTAAGCAGGACCTACCGCCGGGGAGTTTGGTGGGGCTACGCGAAGCGTCTGGATTTACTAATGAACGCGGCCCTGAGGCAGCGCGACCCTGGGAGCGCGGACGCAGCGTAGTCCACGAGGGATCGTGACCCATGGAGAGCGGACCCAGCGTAATTTACGAGGGATCGTGGCCCTAGCGGGGCGGACACACTGTAATTCATTATCTTGCACAGGGTGTCCAGAGCTCCGACCACTTTATTCCGCGTCGCACATCCCCCCCCCCCCCCCCCAGCGCGTCCCCAGCGCCAGAGTGGGACCCCCGCGCCGTGGCTCTCTGCCCCGATCCCGTCCGCGTCCCCAGCGCCCCAGCGGGAGCCCCGCCCGCTGCCCCCTCCGCCACGAACGCTCGATTCCGCGTCGCACCTCCCCCCCCCCCGCGCGTCCCCAGCGCCAGAGTGGGACCCCCGCGCCGTGGCTCTTTGCCCCGGGTTCCCCCGCGTCCCCAGCGCCCCAGCGGGAGCCCCGCCCACTGCCCCCTCCGCCACGAACGCTTTATTCCGCGTCGCACACCCCCTCCACCCCCCGCGCGTCCCCAGCGCCAGAGTGAGACCTCCGCGCCGTGGCTCTCTGCCCCGAGCCCCCCCGCGTCCCCAGCGCCCCTCCGCCACGAACGCTTTATTGCGCGTCGCATTCCCCCCCGCCCCTCTCGCGTCCCCAGCACCAGAGTGGGACCCCCGCGCCGTGGTTCTTGGCCCCGAGTCCGGCCCGCCCAGTGCCCCCTCCTCCCCGACCATTTTATTCCGCGTCGCGACGCACACCACTTCCCCCCCTCCTCTCCGCGCCCCCAGCGCCCCAGTGGGACCTCCGCCTCGTGCCCCCCCCCGTTCTGAACATTGTATTCCGCGTCGCGACGCACGCCACCTCCCCCCCCCCCGCTTGGGATTTAGGCCCCCTTGCTGGGCCCCGAGGGCGATGTTTTGCCTTTTTTTTTCTCTTCCCCCACCTCCTCCTCCTCCCCCTTTTTTTTTGCCCAAGAGCCATGGCACACGTGCCACGTGTCAGGGAACGTGGCCCTGGAAGCGTGGACGCAGCAAAACTCACGAGGCATCGCGGCCCTGGGAGCGCGGACGCAGCGCAGTTTACGAGGGCGTGGCCCAGGGAGAGCGGACGCAACGTGATTCAAGGGGGATCGTGGCCCTGGGAGCGCAGACGCAGCATGATTTACGATGAGTCGTGGCCCTGGGAGCGCGGACGCAGCGCAATTTACGATGGATCCGGGCCCTGGGTCAGGGACGTCCCGCTGCACGTTTCCTGACGCATTCCCAGGCACGTTCCTTGGTGCGTCGCTTGGCACGTTCCCCTGCACGCTCCGTGGCGCGTCCCGTGGGGAGCCCCCCTGGCAAGTCGCGCGGCGCGTCCCGTGGTACGTCCCGTGGCACGTCCATTGGCACGTTCCGTCGCGCATCCCATTGGCACGTCCCGTAGTGCGTCCCCATGGCACGTCCCTTGGCACGTCGCCTGGCGCGTCCCGTGGGACGTTCCGTGGCGCGTCCCCCTGGCATATGCCGCGGCGCGTACCATGGCACGTCCGTTGGCGCGTCCCCTGGCACGTCACTGTAAGGCACGGCGCAGCGCAGCGGAGCACAACACAGCCCCTGGCACAGTACCATCGCCATCGTTATCTTCAGCATGGCCGTTGCCCATCGCCCAATTGAGGTCCTTAGAAGCGTTCTCATGCCTCGCAGTTTTTAATCCCTTTCCGGGTTCGTGGGTCAATCGTGTTTTTGTATTCGCCACCAGTGTTCCTATATGGCGCCAGGTGGTCAGTGTGGAAACCTCGAAAAATAAGTGTAGGCCAAACAATTTGTCTTGGCACCGCAATCCGTGGAGCAAATTGTTAAATGGGCTCCATCCCAACAGGCTTGGGGTTTCCGTCGATTCAGACACTTGTTGCCATCTCTAGTGCCATGAAGCCGTGCGTTCACAGTGAATCGCGCGGCACTCGGCCGTTTTTCAGTTCGGTGTCTTCTCTGATCTGAATTTTGACCTTCCCCAGGGGGGGTTCACCCACCTGCTGGGGTGTATGTGGGTTGCGGCATCGTGGATGAAAATGAAACTTCCCCCGCCCGAGGTTCCAGTCCGAGGTCCGGGACCTCAGAGACGCCATCGTCGACGAGGCGGGTGGCCCCCCCCCGCCCCTCCCCGCCGCCAGCCTGTTTGTGAGCCGCTTCGAGTGCGGCGAGGAGGAGGAGGAGGAGGAGGAGGAGGAGGAGGAGGAGGGCCAGTGCAAACCCAAGACATCATCAATTGATGTTGGAGCCCATCCTCCTCCCAAGATCCGTCTTCATTGGCCCCTATAAGGATTATTTTCCACTGAGGGAAGCTCCCCGTTGGGAGACAACCGCGTGAAAATCCTGAGCGTGCCGAAGCACCATTCCCATGACTTCAACGTAACGAGTCAGCTTGACTGTTGCGTCTTGACGATCCTGAACGTGTGAGAACATGAATTCTGGGAGTCCAACACCACGAATCAGCGTTACTGTTGCGCGTTGACAGTCCTGAGTCGTTCCACATCGGAGCTCTTGCAAATGTTCAAAGCGAATGCGCGTGGCGCTTAGGCGAGGGCCAGAAACGAACCGCCCTCAATTCGTGCAACTCTTGCAATCCGTTTAGACGAATGTGCGCGGCGCCAATGCGAGGGCCACATTTTGAAAACGACCCGCCCTCAGTCCGTGAAGCTTTTGCAACGTTGTAAGACGAGTGTACGCGGCGATAGGCGAGAGCCACATGTTGAACATGACCAGTCCTCAGTCCGCACATTCTTGCAATTCGCTCAAACGAGTGTGTGCGGCGCGAAGGCGAGAGCCACATTTCGACAGCTATCAGCCCTCCATCCGTGAACGCAGTCAAAACAGCAAGACTTGGGATCATATGTAGGAAGGAAGTCTATAGCGACACGCTCAGCCCGCCTTTCCGAATGGCCTCGGGGTGCGACAGGGAGGAGTTATTCATAAGGAAAATGACGAAGGAGGAGAAGGAGGAGGAGGAGGAGGAGGAAGAGGAGGGGGAGGGGGAGGAGGAGGAGGAGGAGGAGGAGGAGGAGGAGGAGGAGGAGGAGGAGGAGGAGGAGGAGGAGGAGGAGAGGAGGAGGAGGAGGAGGAGGAGGAGGAGGAGGAGGAGGAGGAGGAGGAGGAGGAGAGGAGGAGGAGGAGGAGGAGGAGGAGGAGGAGGAGGAGGAGGAGAGAGGAGGAGGAGGAGGGAGGAGGAGGAGGAGGAGGAGGAGGAGGAGGAGGAGGAGGAGGAGGAGGAGGAGGAGCGGCCCACTGGCGGTTTCTGGCGTGATGCTGACGAAGCTGTGTCCGCCAGCCACGCGCCAGGAGGAGGAGGAGGAGGATGAGGAAGACACAGTGGGTTTCAGCGGAAAAACCCTCGCCCGCAGGCAGTGCGTTGGCAGGAAGAGGAGGAGGAAGAGGGCCAGTGTAAGCCCATGAGTCATCAGCGATGTTGAAATACACCCTCCCTCCAAGCTCCCTCTTCATTGGCCCCTACAGCGGCTCATTTCCATGACGGGAACTGAACTGCTTCGTTGGAAGACAACGGTTTGAAGATCCCCAAGCATGCCAAAACATTGTTCTCGGGATTTCAACGCCACGTATTGACCTGACTGCTGCGTCTTCACGATCCGGAGTCGTGCCAGAGCTCCATTTTGGGGGACTTCAACAACGCGAATCAACATAATTGCTGCACCCGCGTAATCCTGAATCCTGCAAAAACACCATTGCTGGTACATTAATCATGCAAATCAGTGAAGCTCTTGCAAATGTTCAAAGCGAATGCGCGTGGCGCTAAGGCGAGAGCCGGAAACGAACCGCCCTCAATTCGTGCAACTCTTGCAATGCGTTTAGACGAATGCGCGCGGCGCTAATGCGAGAGCCACATTTTGAAAGCGGCCCGCCCTCAATCCGTGAAGCTCTTGCAAAATTTTACAATGAATGTGCGCGGCGCTATCTCGAGAGCCACATTTTGAAAAGGACCCGCCCACAATCCGTGAAACCCTTGCACAGTTTTAAAACGAATGCGCGCGGCGCTAAGGCGAGAGCCACCTTTTGAAGAACCAACCGCCTTCAATCCGTGAAACTCTTTGCGAATGTTTGCAACGCATGTGCGCGGCGCTGTGGCGAGAGTCACATTTGGAAAACGACCCGCCTTCCATCCGTGAAGCTGTCGTCATTCTTAAGTTTCAGAATCATAAATGGTGCCCTGAAAACTTGTCTCGGGGTGCGACACGGAGAAGTTATCTAGAAGGAGAAGGAATGGAGGAGGAGGAAATGGGAGGAAGGAGGAGGAGGAGGAGGAGGTCGCAAGGCTCTGGCTTGAGCACAGACAGGCCGCCCCAGGTCGTCACAGCTCGCCTATTCAAGCTTCCCGAATAATCCAGTGCGGTCTCGACACCCTGGCGCCGCCTCCAGTGGCGCCCCTGCGGCGTTCCGCGCCCCCGCTTCCGCAGCACCCATGCACTCTTACACCACGAGGTGATCGTCGACCCCACAGGGCCGACGCGCACGCCGAATTTACTCCACGCAACAGCTCCTCTGCGGAGGTGTTCCTGGCCACGCCGCGTGGACAGCGCAATGCAAGTTGTGTGGCGTTTGTGCCATCTGTTGTGTTGTGATCGAGTGTTCGCCTCCAGGGGCTACGCATCGCATTTTTCTAGTAGTTCTTAATGCGTCTCAGGTCCCGCTGCCCCGTCGAAGAGGTTTCGTTTTCTACGTCAGGGGGCCGCGTTCTTCACCAGGGTGTAGTTTTTTCCATCAAGGTTTATTATTATCCACCCCGCTACGTTTTTTCGCGTTGTTTTGTTTCCCACCAGACTCCGTACTCTTCCCCAGGGTTTTGTTTATTCACTGCATCATGTTGGTTACTCCGCCCCTGTTCTGTGTCCTCCGCCCCTGATGTGCTGTCTAGTTTTCTTTTGTTCTGTGAAGTGTCTCTGCCTCTGGTCCCTTATTGCATTTCTCTCCCTTGTTTTGGTTGTTTCACATCTCATTCGTGTCGTTCGTCGCTCGCGGGGGCCAGGAACGAAGCACAGATGCACGCGTGCATACGGTCACGTGGATCCCGACAGAAATCATTACGCGAGCGGTCGAATCATGAGGGCCGCTTCGCGAACCGGGGGGGGTACATCCCAAGAGATTTGGTGCTATGGTCCTTGAATTTGGGCTATCCATAAATCCAGACCATCGGGGGCAACTTTTTGGAGTCGTCGTTTGACGCCCCCCTCTGCCCAGCGAAGACTCCAAAAGGCAAGAGCCATTCACACGTGTCTTGAGCTTTCAACGTGGTATATGTTTGGAGGACGAGGAGAGGTTGAGGCAGCTGAGGAGGAGGAGGAGGCGGGAGGGGCCCCTTTCGAGGGAGCCGGCCGCGGTTTGGCGCCGCCCAGCCCCCCCCACGCCCTCACCCTGGCGTGGTGCCTTAGCCGTTCCGGGACGCGGAGGGCGAGGAGGCGGCGGGGTCGACGCGGCAGGGGCGGAAGTGACATGGAGGCGAAAGACGCGGTGGGGACTGAGCTTGACCGAGAGGCGAGAGGAGACGGGCGGAGAGCACACAGGAGGAGCTGGAGGAGAGTTGGGAGGATTTGAGTGGTGATTTTCTAGCCACAGCGTTGGCCTCCGACGGCCGCTCTGGAGTAGCAGGCGCCCCCCCAGAAAGCTCGCAAGCGAGGCGCACATGCTGGAAAACACCCCGAGGCTGAAGAGCCTCGACGAAAACCTCCGTAACACGTCATCTCCCTCTCGGGCTCCTTCACCCTTCCCTGTTTCCAAATCTTCAGGGCGAGACGCTGAGGAGCGGAGGAACGGAAGGAGGAGAGGCGAGGAAGGATGCGGACGAGGAGCCCGCCCAAGAGAGCCCAAGTCCCGAAGAGGGGGAGGGGAAGGAGGGGAGAAGAGGAAGGAGGAGGGCGAGGCGCGCGCCCCCAGAGCGCCCCAGTCCAGAGCGCGGCTGGGCGCGCGCTTTTCTTCATGCTCAGACGGGGCCGTTCGCCAGGCGCCCACCGGTCGAAGGCGCGCCTGCTTGTGATCGTGCGCAGGGGGCCCCAGGGGGTGGGGGAGGAAGGAGGAGGTGGAGAAGGAGGTGGAGGGAAAAGGTGGAGGGGGAGGGGGAGGTGGGGGAGCAGGAGGAGGAGGAAGAGAGGAAGAGAAATATGATGATGATGATGATGATGATGATGATGATGATGAGGAGGAGGAGGAGGAGGAGGAGGACGAGAAGGAGAGAGAGGAGGAGGAGGAGAAGGAGGGAGGAGGAGGAGGCGGGGAAGGAGGAACAGGAAGAGGATGAGGAGGAATAGGAAGAGGAGCAACAACAGTAATGAGATTTGTAAACTGACTGATTCTGGTTCTTCTACCACTATCAATGCGAACGCGGTCACGAGTGATAATAACAACACGTATTGTTCGTGATAGTAATTATACGGTCAAAATGTGTCATTGAATTCGAATGGTAATACTGCTGCTACTCCTACATTTGTTTGAACTGCGCCCCTACTAAAGTAACACGATTCATACTAGTAATAATAACAGTAATAGCAATGTTAGTACTTAAAGTAATCAGAAAATGATGAGGAGGAAGAGGATGAGGTGGAGGAGGAGGAGGAGCAGCAGCAGCAAGAGGAGGAGGAGAGGGGAGGGGCAGGGAGAGGTGGAAGGGGGAGAAGGAGAAGGTGGAGGAGAAGGAGGAGGAAACGGAGGAGGAAAAGGAGGAGGAGGCGTGGCAGGAGGAGGAGGAAGAGAGGAAGAGGAATAACATTACGCATGGGACGCATACTACTAGTATCAGTATTATTACGAGTAGTAGTACGATGTCGAGATAAGCACGTTTGACAGCAGTATCTTCGTGCCTGTCCGCAGCCACTCTGGCAAAATAATTTCTCATGGTGGCGTGAGCGTTTCCCCGCCGCAGCCAGCGGCGGTCGCATGCAGGAGCAGCTGCAGGGCACGGACAGTGGATTCGACCTCATCGAGGACCGGCCCAAGGAGAGCTGTTCCCAGGAGCTGGTGGACAGCTGGCATAGATTCTTCGTCAAGCACGCGCGTCTCACGTTCAAGAGACGGTGTTTTGGACACCTGGGCCAGTGGTTGAAGATCACCGAGTCAGGCGAGCGCAAGGAGATTGA